TACCCATTTAAGCCGTCTCAAGCCATTATTAGTCTCAAAGTGGGTTCCTCGTCATCGAATTGGTGTAATTAGTTTCCTGCATTTCTCCATTACTGAAAATATATTATTTTGGAGCCTCATCACATTCAGTTATGCTCTGATGGCCATGAATCTTGATAAGAGCCCTGCACCATAGTTTCTATTGCAAAAGGCTCTGTTGTATGGGTAAAAATCACACAACTTCTTCCTGCATGCTTTTCATAAGCCATCTAATGTAAAAGGATGAAGGTTTCTCAAAACCTGTTTTAATAGTTCAATCACACAGAAATTCATGGGTACTACTTCTGGCAACTTGACTTGTATGAGTGTTTTTGTGTCAGAAAACGGCCATTCCATACCTTTCAGTGACATCAAATAAGATATAAAATACCAAAATGTAGTTATGATACATTGCATTCCTCAATTTGAATTGCTGATATACATATTCAAAATTGTTTTAATATAATGCATTGAATCCTATGTGTTTTTATATGTTCAGACATTGTATCAGTTTAAAAAACAAAAGGAAACACACAAGGTAGTTTTCCATCCATAGAAGATTCATAAGATGTATTTTATTCATCCCAAAGTTTTGGCTACAAGCCTTTATCTGGACCCAATAGTAACAGAAAACATCATATTCAACAAATGCTACATGATAAGACAAGACACTAATGTAATAATAGGAAGTATTTATTAAACATTTCAGAATCTTCAAAATTCCATCTTCAGTAGTATAGAGGTACAAAACAAACATGATATAATTTGTGATACTTTCCTGACTATCTTAATTCACAACTCATGAAATTGAGACAATTCTGGGTGTTCTTGTTAATCATGATGCTAACAGTTTTACAACTTCTGTCTATTGTAAAAATACATTTACTGGTCTTTTCATCCAGTTTGATAGCTTTATACTTTTTTCTTACCTATGTAGTCTTGTTCTCGGCCTACAACCTTACCTCTTCCTGTCTAGCCCTTCACAAGAAAATTTCTGCCATACAGTGCATTCTTTTTTGAAATGGCTACCCTAAGCATTTCTTGGAGAAAATAAATGACTCATTCTTAACTAATATGTTTGCCAAACCACCTAAGATACCCACTTTACCCAAATTTCCTTTATACACCTGCTTACCATATCTCGGGAGACAGAGCTCCCTTATCATAAAACTTGTATATAACTCTTACTATCCTCATTGACCTGGAAGTTATTTTTAAACCTAATTTCAGACTTAAAATTTTTTTCTGCTATAAATAATATGTGGAGACTAAGGCCTACTATACTGGTGAAACCAAAGGTCAACTTAAAGTACAAGCAAAACCTGCAAGAAAGGTTACAAACCTTCCCAACTCCGCTATCTGCCAGCACAATACAGAAACAGGGCATCTGATTTCTCTCTCCAACTTTGAAATTCTCTCAACAGCCAAAAATGATAACGAACATCTTATAAAAAGAGATGTTATACATAAAGACTTTTCTTCTGTCTCTTAATAATACACATTCTTCATTTGATTTAAATATATTTTAATTTAACTATTTCATTTGTGCTACATACTTTCCATTTTCTATATTCAAACTGTTAACTTATGTATTACAAGTTATATCATATTTCTGTTGGAATTACCATTGTGTTTGTTTTTTACCTCTAGATTACTAAAGATAGAATTTTGAAGATTCTGAAATGTCTAAAAAATGCTTCATATTATATTGTGTTTTGCTTTATTATTAAGTTACGTTTTCTGAAAAATTAATCGATTACGCTAATACATGATTTACTGAAAGAATAGAAACACAACTACACACTAATATATTAAACAAGAAATATTCATTCATTAGTTAGCTAGGCTGCATAATTTGTTTTACCCACCATCATGCCTCAAGTTGAACAAAAAACATGGGCTGGCTAACTAATAAATGAATATTTGCTGTACAATCCTTATCATTGTTATAAGTGTAGCTACCAGTTTGGCCACCAATGTTGATTTCATTCCTTTAAGTTGCACACTCAATCCTTTTAGGCCGCACCTTTTTTTTTCACACCTAAGGTGTTTTTGATTAGATATTATAATGTTTGTTGTTGGATACACAAGAGTGATCAGTTTAATAGTTATTACTTAGTTTATTTAGTGATTTCATATTTAATGAATATTTAGTTTTCATAACAACAATGTTAAAAGTTCATTATTTTAAAAACAATAATTATGACAAATTTTTTTATGTAACTCTATATGAGTCATACATTGTGTTTGTAGTTCAGTTGTTGTACTAGGCTTTTGTAATACTGTTGACGTCATCTTACTCGAAGCTTCTAAGTTTTTCTCATTATGATTAATATTGTTGTTACTAGAGGGCTAGATATTTCTAAATTTTTCTGTCACATGTTATAAATACGCACAGGTGAAAGTGAAGTTAGACTGCTTGATTGTCAGTTTAGCCATAACAAGCAATTTATAAAATTATAATTTCACAGTTTGTATTGTAACAACAGAGATAAAGAAAAAGAATTTGTCTTGTCAAAACCTTCATAATGTTAGAAAAACATGTAGGTTCAAGAAGTCTTGATAGAAATGAATAAAAACCCTTTAACCCGAGTTCTTTTGAAAGGCGGACCTTTTTCTTCAGGGGCAAACTTGTCAAAGGGTGTTCTAAAGTGATTGAACCCACCTGTGTGGACTTTGACTGTGATAAAAATAAGACTTGTTTTGAATATACTATTTTAAAACAAGTGGATTGTGTGCTGTCTGTTTATTGTTGAAATTTATGGCCAACAAGTCACAGACACCTACTGTAAAGACTCCAGCCCTATAAAAACCTGACATTTGTTTTTACTTACAATATAGCATGATGTGGGATTGTAGATTATTGTAAAAGTGCAAACAATCCTGTTTATGCAATAATATTCCTAGCTACTTACATGGCCTCTTCATTGCGAAGTCAAATATTCCTCTTTAATTTTTAGTGACCTTACTATAAACTGTCAACATTCACTACAATTAATATTTTCTGGTGGATTACTATAGTCAGAAACAACTTATCCTGATTAGTCCAAGTATTTCAAATCATTCAGTATTCATTGTTTTTGATTTTTTATGCTTTCTCTAGTGTGTTTCAATTGTTTCTACATTGATCTGTGATTTAACGGTTTCACAACATGCCATATAAAATCATAAGAATCTCTAACTATGGACAAAGTATTGCTCAAAACTTAGCAATGAATTATTATTCTCTTCAATTTGCAATATTCGTTGATGTTGGCTAGCATCTGTTATAAATTTGTGTGAAAGAATTTACAAGACTTATCTAACTTTTAATTATTCTTGGTTTCTTTCCTTCTATATTCTTCAGATATTCATTTGTTTAAAAGTGCAAACCTACACAATGGGCTATATTAACTGTGCCACTGTGGACATTGAAACCCCATTTTTAGCATAAGTCCTCAAGCTTAACATTGAACCAGCAGGGGTTTTTCAGAAAGTGATCATTTTCATTGTGATAAACAATGAATAATCATATTTGGTATGTTCGAAAAAAAATGTCTTTCTCTATAAAGGCTCCAATTTAGGTAAAAGAATTATATTGATTGAGTTGCACAATATAAAATAACATGTTTTTAAAAATTGGTAATCATCCTAAACTTTAGAAATAGTAGTATCAAAAAGTAAAAAGTTTTTCATACATCAAATATTTGGATGTTTAAAAACAACAAAATACATATCAAGGTATACACTACTCCCTTTGTTAGCTATGACCAATTCAGAAAAAATATATCACCAGTTGAAATTGAAATGTCAGCTGTTATTAATGTTTAAACCATGTTTTCTGTTTTGAAAGAATGAGTTATGAAACAGTTTTTGTAAACTCAAGTATAAATCAGGAAGTCACTTACATTGAACTTGTATCCTTGCACAATTTTTGGTGGTGGGTTGTCCATATCATAGTGAGTTTGATTGTATTTATTCCATTCAAAACCCTGTTCAAATACACAAAAAGCACAAGTAAATTGACTGTTAACATGTTGTAGAGATGTTTAATATATATAAAGTTCATGAGTGTCTTTACTAAAACCACCATTTCTAATAAGTATTTCATAATATTACAAAACAATATTAATTTCTACTAATACAGATTAAAAAATCTACACCATATACGTGAGATATGGAGTAAAATAAAATCAAAACAACATATATATAACAAAAAAATCTTACCGTATGAACCCTATTGAAATAGCGGGGTTTACGTGGCCGATATTTATCAGACCATAGGTATATTTTATCCAGTGGAGACTCTACACTGAATACGGCCTCTTCTCCATCCATTCCTTTTCTAGCTTCTCGTTCAAAAGCTTTTTCTTCAAAAGTTAGGACATCCTAAATGAGAAAAAAAAAATTGTCTTGATAAAAAACTACAATGTAACCACTACTATTAAAGATTACTTTTAATTTCATGTTAGTGGAATATCAGGTACTGAAAAGTATCATTTTATCTTAATATCTTTATAGACCTGAAAAAAACCTTATGATGAGTTGGTCAAAGAAACTTCATGTAAAGGACATGGCTGTAAAGCTCGTACCTTTTGTTCTGTAACTGTATTATAGTAATTTGAATTCTGATGCATGATTAACCAAATTCTTCGAAAGATATTTTAAGAAAATTTGTGTAGACACAAACTTCTTCACAGTATTTAGTTTTATTACAAGCTTAAGTTATTAGCAAACTTTACATTTCCAAAAACCTCAATAATGTGTTAGAGAAAATTAAAGGTTCATCTTCTTTACAAAAATCAACACTTACCTCATATGAACCTGTTCCTATCAACTGTCGTCGAGCAAAAATCAGGCGGGTCATGTCTTCTTCTGGATTTGTTAGAAGTGTTCCAGGTTCTAGACTAGACAGACTGATGTACTGAGGGCTGTAACACCCAATTCTGTAATCTTCTTCACTTTGTTTTATTGGATCTACTCTAAAAGTGAAGACACAGATCAATATAAAGATTAACCATGCAGTCAAATCTAGTGAATGAAACTTAAAACAAGTATACACTTTAGTTTCTCACTAACACAGTAAATATTCTGTGTTACCACTACTGAGTTAGCTGCTTCCTGCTAAATTAACTTATTGACTTGTCATTATTTATGGAATTATATTCTCTTTTTTTTACACTATGAAAATTTAAAGACACATATTTAATCCTACATGCATGGGAAGGGGGCAAAGTGTGCATGCCATGATCTTTTACAGAGTGTCATTCAATATAGTATTGTGTATTTGAAGTCAGTTTATCAATTCTTCATTTTACCCTACATTGTTGAATTAGCAGCAGTTTGTGGTAGAGGAGAGTAAATACCAGACACAAAATACCCTACGTGCATGGGAGGGGGCAAAGTGTGCATGCCATGATCTTTTACAGAGTGTCATTCAATATAGTATTGTGTATTTGAAGTCAGTTTATCAATTCTTCATTTTACTCTACATTGTTGAATTAGCAGCAGTTTGTGGTAGAGGAGAGTAAATACCAGACACAAAATACATGGATACTGAAAGAAACTGCAGATATGCACCTTGGAGGTTCTAGAGGTTATGCAAATGCAAACTTTACGATGGACAAAAATATTTCTATTCTTCACATGAACATCACCTTGAACTCCGACATCTTTGAGTCAGACTGACATTGTCAATTCACAGATATATCTTGAGTACAAATATTTTTGTAACACATTGTTTTTTGTGTACAAAAAACTTGTACATTTCACTAAAAACCTGCCACATTTCATGTAGATAAATATACTAAATTCAGAATTATGGTCAACATCCCTTCTCCAATATATACATATTCAGTTAATAACATTCTGTTCTGCTGGAAACATTTAAATCCAATGAAAATTTACAAATCACATAAATAAAGCTGGTTTTATATTTGAAATAATATTTTGGTAGCTTTATAAATTATAAGCGTGTACACTGAGTTAGTGTTTTTGGTTCTCACAAATTTTACTTTTACTTGAATTTTAAATACCCTTAAAATTTTAAGTATCCTTTCATCAATTATAAATTTGTTGTCAATAATATGTTTTGAGGATAAAAGTAACATATTTCTTTGTACCCTTAAAGGTGAAATTGATTTTTTCACATTATTAAATATACATTATAGTTTAATTAAGTGTAAAATAAATGGACATCTAAAACATTTTTCTAAATATTCCAGAATAAAAATCTCAAATGGTGTAAATTAATTATATAGAACAGAAACATAAAACAGACTTCTTTATGCACAAGAATAAATTTGACAAAATTAAAAATGTATTTAGAAAGTTGATAAAACTGTAAATAAGAATAATAAATGGAAAGAAGCTATGTCACTGAAGTTTTCTTATTCATAAAATGAAATTCTAATATGTAAGTCTGCAACGTCTTTTTAGAGTATTTTATTTCTCACCAAAAATTTATCATTCAATGCAAAACATAAAGAAAACATTGCTCTACCAAGAACTGAGACAAGAGGGAAGTGCAAAAACATGTCTAACAGTTCAATTGATAAGTGAAAACAATTAGCAATTAATACTGAAACATTATAAAAGAAAGGCGAGAAAATTGAAGTAAAAACAGAAACAAGATAACATAAATTTACTCTTTGCTATTAGTGAAATAGATGACAAAAACCAAAAAATTGCAATAAATTAATCATAAAATAAGAATTAAAACAATTTTGTGAGAGAAGAAAATTTCAAACTATAAAATAGTAAAAATGTCTTAGGCAGTAAACCATCTTAAAATCAAGTCTAATACATCAATAGTGGATATTAACATTTAACCTGATGTGTATGGGTGAGGGTCAGAGTGTACATCACAACATTTTATTGAATTTAAATAAACAACTTTATTATCGATTTATGCCAATAAACTTGGATCAAAATGTGGTTAGTTAATCCAATTTCAAGATAACATAATTTTGAAAGGAAATATTTAAAGACATTTTCAATCTTCACTTTTATGTATCATATGATACTTGTTCACTCTGAATTGCCCATTTAAACATCATTTTCACCTCTATTTGAGATTCTGTGTTTTAATACAAATTACAAACATATAGTGTAGTCACTGCTAAGATGTAATCTAATTTTATAGCCTTCAATTGATTTGATTCAAAGATATAAATCAAAGTCAAACCCACACACCATGCTCTCTTATCACACACTGTATTTAAAAAATGTCAATAATGTTCACTGACGTTTGCTATCACATTATTTATAACCAACAGAAAGATTTTAATTTACTTGATTACATAAAATGCTAGCTCGTTCTGACAACAACTTTTAAATCATTCAGCCTACAGATTCAAAGTTACTTATGCTAACTAAGTTCACCTCAAACATGTTAAAAAAATTATTTTAACACACTTGTATTAGTTAGAAAGCCAGTTAAGTTATAATAGTTACTAATGCCAAGTTCACCTCAAACATGTCAAGAAAATTATTTTAACACACTTGTATTAGTTTAATTTTCTTGACATGTTTGAGGTGAACTTGGCATTAGTAACTATTATAACTTAACTGGCTTTCTAACTAATACAAGTATGTTAAAATAATTTTTTAACATGTTTGAGGTGAACTTGGCATTAGTAACTTTTTTATAACTTAACTGGCTTTCTAACTAATACAAGTGTGTTAAAATAATTTTCTTGACATGTTTGATGTGAACTTGGCATTAGTAACTTAACTGGCTTTCTTTTTAACACACTTGTATTAGTTAGAAATCCAGTTAAGTTATAATGAAGTTACTAATGCCAAGTTCACCTCAAACATGTCAAGAAAATTATTTTAACACACTTGTATTAGTTAGAAATCCAGTTAAGTTATAATAAAGTTACTAATGCCAAGTTCACCTCAAACATGTCAAGAAAATTATTTTAACACACTTGTATTAATTAGAAAATCAGTTAAGTTATAGGACAGTGTATTCTTTGTGCATATTATTAATTTGTGTTCTAAACTGAATATTTGAATTCAACAGAAATTCAGTAAAACAACTAACAACAACCATAATCAGAAATTAAGGTTAAATTTTCTTGAGGTTTTGAGTGCAAAAAAGTAGATCATCATCAAGCACTAATTTCTTGCTTTTTGTATATTTTTTATTTATTGTTATAAAAGTAACTAAAATATAAAACTTCAAACTTATTAGGTTAGATAAGAAACATTAATGAAAAAAGTTAAATAAAAATATTCCTTAGTGAGGTTTGCATGCAAGCTGCACATGCACTGAACTAGGCATTCGTCAAGTTTATTACAGCTTGTTACATAGGTTTAGTAGCTAGACATGATTCAAAGAACAATAAAATAATAAGATTAAACAAAGACAGGTTCAAGCTGTTATGAAAAAGAGGCTTTTACAATCTGCAGTTATTCTAAAAGAGTAATTTAGATTTATTTCATGTTTTTATGTAGTGGTTACAAGGTTGGTCAAATGGACAGAGTCCATATAGCATTAGAGTAGAGAGGATAACAGATAAGATATAAAGTTTTAATGAAAAATACTTTGACAAAAATTACTTAATCTTACCTTGTTTCTATTTTTATTTTCTATATCTTTTTTGTTTTAATTTGCTTTGCTAATACCAACTGCTAATTTCCTTGTTTTAGACACATTCTCATACTTTTATACTTCACACTCTATTCTGAAGTTTTGTTCTTTGTCAAATGTTTAAACCCTAAATGAGTTCCAAAACCATACCCTAAGCCAATCCAGAGGCAACATCCTCCTGTGAAAAATGATCAGTACATTTGTGAAATTGAAATCTTTGGACAAAAACGTCACTGCAATGAAGTTGACTATATACTTTAGTGATGATAGCAAGACTGTAAAGAAAAGAATTTAAAACTGACAAAAGCTCACTATCAAAACGTTTGAGCATTTCCAGACATCCACAGCTGTTTTTATGACAAAAATAACAAAGAAACTGGAATCCCAACATTCCCAATTGATCACATATAAGTCAAGTCTCCCAGAGCAGCCTTTCTTGTGTTTAAACCTGGTCTTAGAAACTGAGTTCCACAATCTGTAGAAGGTTTTTGGAAAACTTGTCAAGTTGTATGTTTTAAGAGTGACCTTCAATGTTTTCACAAAAACTCATTACAATAGAAATTGTTTTGTCTGGCAATAATTTGTGTGCATGGCTATAAGACTAAACACCATTAACAATGGAAGAGGCAACTTTAGGTAAGTCAACATGGGGCATGGAACATCATTCTTAAAAAGTGTGATAAACCCAAGTAAATCATTAAGGTTGGTGTGTGGTTTCTTTTTATACTCTAGATGTACTATAAATTATGCAGATTATTTTCAGTTATAAACCTACTTAAATATTACAAAATATTAGAATATATGTTAAATATTACAGAAGGCAGTTAAAAGTTCTATTTGAACAGCCTTATTTAAAATCGATAAGACATAAACATTTAGGTTAAGTAAGAAATACTGGGAAAAATCATGTAACCATCAGAAAATTCAACTTAGACTGTTACATCTGCAACAGTTAAATTGATTGTCAGTTTAATGCTTTGGTAGATAATTAGCAGATATAATGGAAAGTATAAATCTGAAAATAATTTGGTTGATGTTAAATACTTATATTCACATGTCAAACAAACCTACAAAAGAACATATAGACCATCACAGAACCTACTCCTCTGTTTGTGTCTCAGCTGGCTCTTCTTCAGAAGTTTTCTCTTCATCTATAACTAGATTTTGTGTTTCTCCACCTGGTGGACATTCTTGAGGAAGAGTCTGAGGTTGTTGTTGTGACGTGGATGGTTCACTTGGAATGTTCGTGTCTATGCACGGAAAGAGAGGCCCACTCTCTACCCCTTGCTACAACAAAACAAATTCATTAAGAATACACCAATAATGTACAACTAGCAATATTCAAGATAGCCTCTTTACAATTCTGTGGTGAATGTAATTAGCAAATATGTCAGTTAGGATATAATGTTATTATGTATGAAGTTCTGTACCTCCTGCTTCAGTTGGAAAAGCTTTTTTCTGAGATTATCTTGATGGCGTTCTCTCAACCTCGCTCTAGCCATGAAAGCCTTTAGTCGAGATAACAGTGTTTCCCAATATCCTAAAAGAAAAGAGGTTAAAGTTATATGACAACAAACAAACTTGCATTAATTTTTGTAATACTATTAAACTGTTCATTAAATTGTGACAAAACAGTGTCAAAATGCTCTTATATATCCAAATCTTTGTAATTCATAGCTGTTTCAAAACATGTCATTCCTTAGTGTTCTTACTGTGATAAGATTAACTTCCACCTGAAGAAGTATGGTGATAACAGAAGCACCACGATCTGCTTAGAAGCTTTTGTCAACAACACAAAATTACTTTACCTACGTTGAATAATTAAAGAATGTGTAACATTCAGCAGATTCAGCAGTGATAAGATTAACTTCCACCTGAAGAAGTATGGTGATAGCAGAAGCACTACGATTTGCTTAGAAGCTTTTGTCAACAACACAAAATTACTTTACTTAAGTTGAATAATTAAAGAATGTGTAACATTCAGCAGATTCAGCAGTGATAAGATTAACTTCCACCTGAAGAAGTATGGTGATAGCAGAAGCACTACGATCTGCTTAGAAGCTTTTGTCAACAACACAAAATTACTTTACCTAAGTTGAATAATTAAAGAATGTGTAACATTCAGCAGATTCAGCAGTGATAAGATTAACTTCCACCTGAAGAAGTATGGTGATAACAGAAGCACCATGATCTGCTTAGAAGCTTTTGTCAACAACACAAAATTACTTTGCCTAAGTTGAATAATTAAAGAATGTGTAACATTCAGCAGTGATAAGATTAACTTCCACCTGAAGAAGTATGGTGATAGCAGAAGCACTACGATCTGCTTAGAAGCTTTTGTCAACAACACAAAATTACTTTGCCTAAGTTGAATAATTAAAGAATGTGTAACATTCAGCAGATTCAGCAGTGATAAGATTAACTTCCACCTGAAGAAGTATGGTGATAACAGAAGCACTACGATCTGCTTAGAAGCTTTTGTCAACAACACAAAATTACTTTACCTAAGTTGAATAATTAAAGAATGTGTAACATTCAGCAGAAAGCCGTTTCTTTTCATTGCTTATAATGCAGTTGAATGACGGTAATTTTAAAGTAGGATATTCAAAAGTTTTTGAGGAAAATTTCAGGTACTTTAACACTAAATGTAAAAATAAAAAGGAAAACAGAAATCTATCACCTTCACAATGTAAAGCTATAAACAGAAGTTCAAACAAATGTATTATTGTTTACCTTCAAAATAAATGAAAAGATATATTGGAAGCTTCAGAGCATTAAATAAAAACAGAATAAATAAGAAGTGTGTAATAAATAGCATATCAGATCCACCTATGGCTAACTTGTTTCTACAGCAATCTTAGGACTACTGTTTTCCAATATTCTGTCAGCTTTCAGTGTTTAAGCCCTAACAATTAATATTGTACAACAAAAGTTATTTACTATACGAGCCTGACAAAGACAGACCAACTTCCCTAAACAAGCAGTAGAAATAATTCAGTGCTATACATGTATTTACAATTTTACTTTAAAATATATATTTCAGATTTATGTATAATTTTCTCACAGAGGAGCTACATTTGAGATGTCACTAGTGTTCTGCATCACCCAAAGTTACTTAGTAGTAGTGTTTGATGATAAACAATAAACAATCCTTAAATACTGTATGAAAAGTATAGGCTGCCAATAAACCAAAATTATAAACTAACTTTATAATGCTTAAGTTATCTATAAACTATAATATTAAAGGAAATAAAAAAAGTTTTGCATTTTTGAAATCAAAAATAAGAAAAATTAGGAATTTTAGGAGAAACATGTCCTATATCATAAAATATCTGCAAAGCACCTTATTTTTCTTTTATTATAATAAAACACAAATTCTAACCTATATCAACCCCTTCTTCACCACTACGGATTTTACTTTCAATTTGATTGTAAAGTGCTTGTAGTTGGTTGGGCGTTTTTCCCTTGAAAACACTGACAACATCAGAGCTGACTGCAGTGTTTATTCCTTCTCTCCTCTCTCTGATTTGATCTGAAAAAATGTCAATTTTGATTCTTATATTCTGATTACAGATGCAGTGTATTATTAATATAGCAATAATAAGTTTATATAATCCATCAAAATGTTAAACATTCTAAACTGTTGCAACAAGAAATGAAACTGTTTAGTTTATAAAAATCAAGTATTAATTTTGGAAAAAAGCATTTAAGCAAGAAAGAAAATTCTTTAAAATAATAATGATTAACACATTTATCTAAGCTTCCAGACTTTATAAAAGACTATGTGCTGAAATATATAGACACTACTTATTTCAAACCTAAATGATGGAAACTTCAGTGTTTATAGATTTGTCTTCTAAAGAAACACTATATTATTGGACTCAGTGACAAGTTGAGTATTAAATATAACACTAAAAATGTCTTTAAGACTTTCACTACAAACTGAAATCCTACACAAATCTACTATATAAAATTCATAGCCATCCACAGTCTTTGAAAAAATTGAGTTGCAAAATATTCTGACCAACTGATATTACAAATATGATAAAGTAATTGCCAAAAGAAAATTTTGAGGAACTAATTATAAAGCAGAATAACATCAACCTCCAACAAAAATGTTAAAATACCATGCACTGAAGAACAGTTTTTGATATATCTATTAAAGTTGGGCAATTAATGGTTTTTGCTAATTGATTAATCAATGGGTTCATTAATTGATTGCATGATTAGTAAGAGCCCTTTCCAGCCTCCTGGGACATGCTACCTTTATAACTCCTTGAAGCACTGTATTATTCATGATATTAAACTTCATAATTTTCATCTTCTTTTGTCTTTTTTTAAATTGTCAAATTACCCTTCATTACATATGTTGCAAAAAACATTTTTTATCTAAAAAATTTTGCCATAGATTTTTTAAAGATAATCTTTAAATGTTAAATGATTCACTAATATCAACTAAACACCATTACACAATCACTTTTTTTAATAATACCAAGTAATCGCTCACTGAACTTCTGTAAGCCAAATAAATCAATAATTGAATAATAAATAAAAACATTTTTCTATCATCAACAAGGATAGTGATATTTTTATTTAAAACATATCATGATTGTAATTAGAAATAATTAAGTAGCCAGTCAGCCAATTTATTTATGCATGTTCTTTGAACTTAAAAATAATATTCAATAAACATTTGAGTGGTTAGAATATTTTTCAGTTGAATTGCATGCTTACTAAACAGTAAACTTATCAGATTTGATGAAACATAATATAAAACCCACATCTTTACAACTGTTAAAACTCTATAACACCATAGTATATCTATTAAATACTAAAAACACCATAATTTTAAACAAAGAACCAAACATCATGCAGCTTCTGTGTTTCATACCGTATATAAATTCCTGTGTGTTGGTAAATGATTTGTACCTGATGATGACAAAACTTTCTACAAGCATTGTACATTTGTTGTTGTGTTAAACTTGTAATAAACCTATCTCTAAACTGTATAAGCTTACAGTTATCCGATCTCAAGTTATCTGATGTTTTATCATGCAAGAAAAGTTTTGTAGTTTTCAAACTGATACAATTTGACACACAAATACTTTCACAATTCTCAAAGGACACACAGTTTAAAATCAAAATTCACCATAAGAACACACACATTGGCCTCTACATCCCCTGGAATTCCGCTCATGATACCACGTAAAAAATCAATACACTGAAAAACCTCATAAACACAGCCACAAGACTGTTCAATGAACTATATAGATGAAGAAATCAACCACATAAAACATTCCTTCATTCACACCAGCAATTGTTGAAAAACTCTCCAACATTCATTACAACAAAACTCAACTCATGAACAAAATAACAAACCCAAAACAGAACATTACACTGCAGTTTACCTTTTGTCCCTGAAACCAGCTCAAGAATTATCCACACTTGGACAAAACTAGCCATTAAACACAATATTCTTGTTAACATCAAATTCTCTCAAAAACCCGGCCCTAAATTAAAATCGTTACTATACAAAAATTATTTAGAATCACACAATACCAACGCAATTTACAAAATAACATGCAATAACTGCCCAGAATTCTACATAGGAGAAACAGGAAGAAAATTGGAAACCAGATTCACAGAACACATTAAAAAACCGTCCCATCTTTTCCACCATTGCAACTCAAAAAACTATAGTATACCTATTAAAAATGCCTTAATTTTCAACAAAGAACCAAACATAAACAAACAAAAAATCAAGGAATCCATCTTAATTGAACAAAACAACCCTGCTCTAAACCAACATGCTTGGGTGCCAAGATACCTCTTCTAAGTCATGCAACAATATCCAGTCATGTGACCTCTTTGTTTCATACTGTGTATATATATGTGTCAGTGTAAACTACTTGTATCTGATGATGACAAATTTGCTGTTATGTTAAACTTATATCAAAGTCTTTCTTCATTACATATTCAAGCCATCTCAAAGCATTATTAGTGTCAAAGTGGGTTCCTCGTCATCAAATTTGAATTCAATAAATTGATTAAATTGGCTTCCTCTGATTTATCTATGTTATAACAATACTTGACAGTAGCTTTTTTTTAATTTTGTAATTTTACAGTACTTCTACTTAAAAATTTATTTGAACTGGCCATTCTGTTATTAACCTTTCATAAACATGGGCCTTGATTTTGTCACAATTGTGATAGATGCTAATCTGGACAATGTCTATCTTCACATTGATCTCTTGGCTTTGGTGACATTTGAGCTGGCCTTATGGGTTAATTACCAAAAAAACCATGTGGTAAGAGGGAGCTGTCATAAATGCTTTCTAGCTTGTGACTGATCAACTGTCAGAGAAGATATTATTGCCCAAATCAGTCTGTCTTTAACCCTCTCCAGACGAGTCACAGGTCAAAGGCCGTGTCATTGCATTTGTTGACTTGCATTTAAAGTTATATTGAACTACTATTTCATGAATTTATGTCAATAAGTTTGTTATCGAACTGTAGATTATAATTCAAATTTTAGTATTATACATTATTTAATTTCTTAATTTAAAAGCAAATATTAAAAAAACACAGATAAACATCAATTTTTGTGTGTCACATGATATTTGAATGCAGCACTGGTTCAAATGGGTTGTTTGTGATGTCAAAATACAAAATCTGCAGTTTTGTGTGAATTGGGAACTCAAACTACTAATATTGACAAGCTTGAATATAAAATAAGAAGTCTCATCTTTTCTGTTTGCTAAGATATTGCTCCTGTACTGAATTAAACACAGTGGCGCCACCCACCTTTTTCCATTTACGGAAACGGTCCCTTATATACACTTAATTCAATATATAACATGTTAATAGCCAACTGAAAGTTTAGAATGTCCCCCTAGTAGCTTTCTCAGCCATTTTCATGTGTTAGGATGCCACCTCATTCTTTTAAACCAAGATTTCAAGGAGGTAAGTTGTGTCTTTAGTCTACTCGAAATTTCATATTTTTTTAGACCCTAATATAGCTTAGTACTAAGCTTGATAAATTATAGTGGAATCATATTGTATTAATACAGTAATTTATGATTTTTTAGTTATTCAAATCTATATATAAAAACCTAAAAAATTATTTGTTTCATATCCTGCACGTGAAAATTTTAAAAGGCTTAACAACCTACGTCATGCAGCAACTGAATACAAACGTCATAACTAGAAAAGATAATTTTTGCTTTTACTTCTTTATTTACTGCTCTATGTTTAA